AATTATTAAAAATAAAACTGAAATAAAATAAATTAAAACTAAGAAAACAAATGACTCAACCACATAACCACATTAATAAAAAAAATAAAATAAAATGAGAATTAAAAATACAAAAACAAAAGCTAATTCAAATAATAAATACTGTAATAGTGGTTAAATAATTCTACAATACTATAAACAGATTTTTTTTCTTCAAAGATAATTGTAAACGATTACACCAAACTACTTAAGGTTTTCCTTTTTAGAATTTGAGGCTTTTTCAATTATGATATCAGGACAGGTGTATCACCCTAACATTTTTGACTTTATGCCCCCCAAAATAAAATTAAATCGAATTTTTATAGTGTGTACGGCATTTGTTATTTTCAGGAGCCCATCATTTTAAATGTATTAGAAATTTGTATTTTAATAAAAAAGGACATAAATTGAGCCCACACCACTGTATATGGCCAAATGTATGTGGAATGAAGTTCAGTGAGAACAAGGCAGCTGTTCACAAAAGCACAGTGCAATGATTTACTGCTGTATGAGTGAGGACCAAAGGCCATACCTGCAATAAATAACCCCAACTCACCTGTAAGCAGTTGACTTTATCTTGTGCAGAACTAGGCAAGGAGTTCTGTTTGCGTGTCTTGAGCTCATTTAGGACCAGCTCCCCCTTCTGGCTATACATGAGTTCATCAATGACCCCCATGACAAAAACACCTTCCAGCACACCAAACACAGGAAACTCTCGCACGCGTTCTCCTGAAACAAGATGTTTGAAAATGAAATGTTTAAAGGGGTCATATGATGCGATTTAACACATTTCATTACACCAAATACACAAAATAATGTTCTTTTTAGCAACATCATATGACCCCTTTAAAACTGATCTGAGTACCAAACCAAACACTGTTTTAACATTGTCAACTCACCTGCTTCCAACAGCGGTATCATGTGCAACATGTTGAGAAGTTTGATGGCTTCTGCATCTTCTCTAGTGCAGATATCTACAGGGACAACGTCCTGAATCTCCCGTTCTGGAGATGAAAGTCATGGATCGGATTACTGAATATGATTGAGATATTATGTTGCACTGTGTTCAAATGTGTATCAGTGTTCACCTCTTGATAAATGAATTTCCTTTCCGATCTGCACCTCAGCACGTTGCATTTCCTTTCTCTTGACAAATGGCTTTAAAAGACCGTAAACAGTCTTCATCTCACACCAAGACTGGTCGCACAGGAGGGTCACACTCAGATGCCGCTTGAAGAAGCGTTGCATTGGGCTGAAGCTGTTTTCATGAAGGCATTTTCTCTTTAAACCCCTCACATTTTCTGTATTTACAGTTTCTTGTCCCAAAGCCTCTTCATTCCTGCTGAATAGAAGAACAATGTTATGTGACAAAACAAAGAAATAACAAATGTTACAGTTCAGTAGAATAACTTGGGTTCCATGTCTGCACACAATATCTAACAATTTTCCACAAACCATCATCATATGACTTACTTGTGCACTGATGATGAGGTGGACGCACAGGGGCTATCAAAGTTCACTGAGTGTTTACCATCAGATTCACTATTGAGATGACACTGGGGCTCTCGAAAGACATAAAACATACATTGTTTGTATGTATAAACTTTAACAACTATGTACAAGTTGTACCTTATTATTTTCAGTGGAAAGATAAGACACAGGTAAAAAGATATCAGATGATAGACAAACAAACAAAGTTACACACATAATACGACAGTGCCATCCTGTGTACAAAATTAAAAGTATGATTAAATTCACAACAAATTACCAAAATTACACACTATTTTACCTATGCTTTGTTGCTCGGAAGGGATGTTGAGAAATTCCGAGTCGCTAATATCGTCCCAGTCATCGAACAGTTGTTGTGATCCAGACGCATCCATCTGAAAACGAAACTCAATAAGCTCTGCCCATTCTAATCTTTACACCATCGTTTCAGGAACATAATATAATAATGTATATAAAATATACACGCTTGTATATTTGTTATAGTTGTTTTATATTATATTGCGAAGTTGTATTATTTGGCATACGACATGCTCGAACATTTCCCTACAATATCCCGCCCCCTTCAACTTCTTTGTTTGCTACAAATGTATTCGATTGGCTAATGCTCTATGCCCCGCCCACTTCAATGCTTTCGTTACAAAGCCAAAACTGATAAAAACAGACGTTCTGCGTGGATAAGCAAAAACACTTCCTATGAATTCTACAAAACACTGTTATAAAAATGACACGTTCGCACATTCTAAATGAAAAATAAACCATAATGAAATCGATCAAATTTATTTATATTTCCACTAGGAAATGTATTGTACATTTCCGGTATAGTTGCCATGGAGATATATTTAGTATACAATAGTTGTAGTTGTTTCCAGTATTTAAATAAAATTAGCATATTAACTCTCTCATAAAACAACGACCAAGAAACATAACTGTGGATCAGAACACATCAGATCAGACCATTTCATTCTCATATTAACACAGGTGGGTAGTTTAACTCAGGAAAAAAGGGCCTCTAAGTAACACTAGCCTTCTCTATTCTTTTTCTATACTATCTACTAGTTTTCTTTTTATTATTAATATATATATATACCTTGCTACATGTACTGCGTTAGGCTAAACGAGACTTGTCATAGCACTTGCATATTATTGTTCTTTTGTTGGTTTTGATTGCTTCTATTGTCATCATTTGTCAGTCGCTTTGGATAAAAGCGTCTGCTAAATGACTAAATGTAAATGAATATAGGAAAGATGCTGTACAGCCACTAGTTTAGGCATCTTCACAATAATTTAACATTAACATAATGATCTAAATCACAGGACTTTTGACATTGTCACCTTCTCAGGTATCACAAGAGGGTTAACCCTTGAGACAACTTCAGCGGAAAACAACACTAGCTGAAACCTTTATAATAGACAAAAAGCCTCTATACAGTCTACACAAGCAACGCGTGAGACCATGAGAATGCTGAAGAACAAGCATGGAGGACACACATGCTCCCAGAAGACCTGTAAACAGCAAAAAGGAAGTAGACAACACAAACATTTGTCGGTATCCGTAGCTAGGCCTGACCAATATAAAAACATGCCACCAAAGACAGCCATGAGCCAGTCCCAGGAGAGCCTGAGGTGGGTGGGAGTGCTGGCCAACCCTGTAGAAGAAGAAAAGAGGATTGAGATGTATAAAACCAACAGAAGGAAGCGCTATCTGGCCACTCAAGATCATCTCATGAAGAGCTTGGCCTGACCTGACAGCCAGTCAAGTTCTTGTATTAATGAAACTTATACATTATACTATGTAGACTTGAAAACAATTGCCTTCATGTTTAATCTGCATTTAAGGCCATATTTGTAATACTACAGGGGCGTAGATTACGCGGGGGACGTGTCCCCCCCCACTTTTAATATCACGTAAATTCGTCCCCCGCACTTTTACGGGCAAGTGTGTTCGCATAGTGGTTTTCAAGAGCCGGTGTGAATAAATATAGATTTAAATTCAAAGAGACAGGATAGTCTGTGCATGACCTGATGTTTTATTATATATATATATATTTATATATATTATAACATTTTTTTTTTGTATATATATAACATTTCTGTCCCCCTCACTTCTAAAGTGATGGCTACGCCCCTGTAATACTATATCTGTAAAACTTACTCACACCTCTAGGGGGCTCTCAAGAACAACAAATGAGAAGATTACTAGTTGCACTACTTTGTGTTTGAACTAGGGTCTTGTTTTCAAGCATGATGCAAAAATGCAAACATTAAGGACAATGCACGTCACTTTAAAAATGTATTTATTTAATTTTAACAGTTAATAACCATCTTAAAGGAATTTGAGTTAAAAGAATAACAATTTTACACAGCACAGCTACAGAATTTAAAACCAGCACTTGATCAATGACTGTGCACAGAAGTAAAGAGAATTGAAACAAGAACAAGAAATAAATAGGGAAATGTGCCACTGATAAAAACATTTTAAACTGAAATGCTGTTATTTACATTATAATTTATTTCAAACACTGGTCTACAGATACCGCTGTCTGCAGTATCAGGCACGATTGAGTTTAGTTCTAATGTGACCTTACTTCTAATGTATTCTTCACGAGTAACAACACGGAGAACGACTTACTAAATCCAAGCAGAGCTGTGGAAGTTAGCTAGCCTTTACATAAAGAAAATATGGATAACAGCATAAGTCTCCTAATGGAGACTTACAGTAGTAAAATATGCAGATAAGGTTAGTTTAAGATGGAGTTAATGTTTTAACCCAGATACACTCACCACCCTTGTGCAAAGACACACTAACATACCCTGTATTTTCAGAAAACACTTTTTAGGCCCTAATATATGAACGTTACCCTTCTACAGCTCAGTGAGATTGAACCTGTTAAATAGAAACATGTAAAAGGTATGTACTAAAAACTCCACCTTTGTTACCCAGTCCTAAAATGCACTATTGTATTATCACCAGTACATCTATTCCTCCACCCGTCCATCAGTTCATCCATCTGTCCATTCATCAATCTATATATGTATCCACCCGTACATCCTTCCATCCATCAATTTGTCCATTCATCTATCTATCTCATCTGTTTATCCATCCATCGATCTATCTGTTCCGGTAAAAAAAAAGAAAGAAAAGAAAACTGTTTCACTATCTATCTATCTATCAGTTCATCAGTCCATCCGTTCATCTGTCCATCCATCCATCTGTTCATCCATACATCCACCAGTACATCTATTCCTCCACCCGTCCATCAGTTCATCCATCTGTCCATTCATCAATCTATATATGTATCCACCCGTACATCCTTCCATCCATCAATTTGTCCATTCATCTATCTATCTCATCTGTTTATCCATCCATCGATCTATCTGTTCATCCATCCATCAGTCTGTCCGTCCATTCATATATCAATCATACATAAAATGTCAAAAACAACAGTTTTGTCAAAGTCAACACAGTCAACAGATTTGTATTGACAAGAATTTATATCTGCAGTTGATATTAAAAAGATGCTGTCCTATTCACAGAAGGCAGGAATGTTTTCATTTTAAGCAATCAACGATATAAATCACAGCAGAAATCAATGCAAATAATATTGCATACAAACATTACAGTAGCCCATCCGACACATAAATCATACATTCATTGCAAACACTTTAGCTTTGATATGCACTGCTGTTTTAACAAGTACAAAGCCATGTGCAGAGAATAAACAATTATGGAGAGGGTGATGATGGATAAATGACTAAGATTACAGTAACCCGATTCCAGAGTTATTAAAAGGACTATAAAATAAGTTGTCAAACAATAGACAATAACTTCCTTTACACAACTGAACAGCAGATGACGCAAAGTAAAAGAACCTATCCTCAGTGTGCACACTATTATTTCTGCATTCCAATAATCTCCCATGAACTAGTTATTGTTCGCAGAGAAAATATGTCTACCATGGGAAAGCGAGGGTAGTAAATATTTCTTCCTTACAGCTCCTGTAGGATTAAAACATCTACAATATGGTTTTTTTTCACCTCAACCTGGGAAAGTATTTCAAAAGCCAAAACAACTAGTTTGTCATTTCAGCAGGAGACAGGAAATCCCAAGCTCCTCTGTTGTGAAGCACCTGAGACCTCACTCTCATACTCCACAGGCACCTTTACCCAGAGCAACAGCCAAGTTCCACACAGCCGTTTACTGTTATAGTGATGGGACAATTACAAAAACGTTGGCTTTAAATCATCTTGATGTTGAAATCCCAGTACAGAAGACTTTGTGCCAGAATAGCAGCAGGTTACTTTTCTGAGCCACACTGCCCTCTGTTTTGCTTTAAGTGCAAGCATATTTCAGAGAAATGTGTAAAGTAAAATGACTCATACATGCCAGTAATGTGTTGAGGTTCAGGAAAGGACTTGAATTATAAGGCTCATAGTAATGCAAGTCATAAAAGCCACAAAGTTAAACCACGATCTGTCAGAGAACATAAATACATACAGAAGACATAGCAGAACTACTTACACACCATTTTCAGCATGTTAAAACTGGAGTGGAGACACGTTGTCAGGCCGTACTGAATATCCAGACAGAGCGCTCACATTAGTATATTGATGGGAATAAAGTTCCTTCTGATTTACTGAATCCTCTTTTTGATGAGCTTTTCCAGTTTGCGGATACGGGAAGATTCTTGTTCAGGGGTGGGGGCACTGAAGGACAATGATGGGCCACCGTCTGGCCCTGATGGCGGATTAGGTAACCTCTGTCTGAACAGCTCCAGCATGGTGCCCTGCTCACTCCGTTTCAGACCCTATAGATTGAGAGGGGAAAGAGGTAGACACTTTTGACCAATGAATTTCAATGATCTTTTCAATAATTTGTGATAATTAGATAAGGTGTTTTTAAAAGTCATTTTGATTCTTCAATGAATCAATTAGACCTGACCCAAATCAACAGAATGATTTGCTCACAAATTGGACACAGTTTATTCACCAAATTCTAAATCAAACAAGTTATATGCACACACAATATTTTAACACTGTATTATTTATCTGAAATGGAAAGCTTTTGTAACATTATACATCATCGTTCAAAAGTTCAGGGTCAGGAAGGAGTTTTTCTTTTTTTTGAAAAGAAATTATAGAAATTAATACTTTTATTCAGCAAGGATGCATTAAATTAATCCAAAGTGATGGTAAAGATATGTATAATGTTACAAAAGCTTTCTATTTCTGCTAAATGCTGTACTTTTGAATTTTGTATTTATCAAAAATACTGAAAAAAATTTTTTACACAACTTTCCAACATTGACTGCTTCTTGAGCAGTAAATCAAAATTAGAATGATTTCTGAAGGATGTTGTGACACTGAAGACTGGAGTAATGATGCTGAAAATTCAGCTTTGCATCACAGAAATAAATTCAGTTTTTAAAATATATTCAAACAGAAACATATATACAACTATATTCAAAGAGTTATTTTAAATTGACAAAAAAATATTTCAGAAGAGACTTATTTTAAAAACAGTAAAAAGCTTTTGAATAGTAGTGTGTGTCTATAATTATATATATATTAATATGTATATATATATTAGTGCCGTCAAATCGATTTAATATATATTTATATTGAAGTATAATAAAAATGATATATAAATATGAATATACAGTATATGTATATATATATATATAAAAAACTTAAATAGATACATGTATGTGTGTGTATTTATATATACATATGGTGTGATCTCATGAAATAGAAGGACGATGTCCCTGATGCAAATAAAACAGACTCACCTTCATATCTAGAATCTTCTGGAACGTCTCAGGATTGCTGTCAGCAAGGAGCTTGATGTAGTTGTCCACAAAGACCACGGATGGCTCGTGAGGGGCCATGACCACCTGAGAGGTGAGGAGAAACAAGTCAGCTAAACTCCAGCTGGGTTCTCCAATCTCTCAAATATGAAACATTACCACATGAGACCCACCGCTCTGGTAACAGGAGACAACTAAATACAGTGATCTGAAACACTAAAGAAAGACAAAAACTTGAAGTGTCTATTTTTAACAGCGTAATTACTCTATGCTTAAATGAAGCTGAATTAGCCTCACCGGTAATTTTTTGTGGGGTATAATGAGAGTCTCAATTGAGCAGTAAAAAGAGGTTAAATGGGGTACAGGCCTGCATTGTGAAACTGTTTCTTTTCCCTTGAAGGGTGGGAGGGAAAAAATGTTTAACTGTATATCTTGCAACTATTTAGATTTGTAAGAGGGCAGAAGAACACATGGCTGACAGATACGACTGGGGGGGGGGTAGGAGTGAGACAGGCAAGAAAGAAGAAAAAAAATGAGAAGACTGTGGAAAACAGCCACGTCTCACAGGCAGCAGCATGCTTGGCTCACGCTGCCTCCTTCAGCTTCACATCTCTCTGAGGTTTGGGCCCTAGGATGGGCAGGAACCTGTTCCCAGCCAAAGAAAGAGAGAAAAAGTGAAGACATCTTTAACAGATTACTCTCCACGTTTACCCTGTAATGAGCGTCATGTGGACAGCCAAGCCACCACCAGCAACGAAGGTCCTATTTCACCCATAAACCGCTTAACGGGTGTCACACTTCACTGATGTAATTCAGCAACAATTAAGAAACAACGATGACAAAGCGAGACTGAGGTGGCAAACGGCTGTGCTATTTGTTCCACTAATCCGAACACAAAAAATAACCCATGCTGATTTGTTTGGCCACATGGCAGCAGAAGCCTTGATGTTAAGGAGTGTATTGAAGTATGAATGGCTCTTCCAGGAACCGCAGAGCAAAATGCTGATGAAGATGGAAGTAATTACCTGAGAGGCACCTGGGGCCCAACAAAGCCAATCATTAAATACTATACAGATTTTAAAGACCCACCGTATGCAAGTCAAGATCAGGGCTGGGCTTCTTAAGCAGACCTTCAAGTGTCCATGAATGGCCACTGGTCATGTGTTCATCAAATTTGACTTGTATTGTCAAATTTGGCTGCTGAAGTTGTGGTCAGATCAATGAGGGCTTATTTAGAGAGGTACAAAGTACAAAGATAACTCTTTGAGAACTCTGCTATTAAAGGGATAGTTAACCTAAAATCAATTACTCACCCATTAGACTTTCGTTCATCTTTGAAACACAAATGAATATATTTTTAAGGAAACCTGAGAGGTTTCCTGTTCCACCAATTAAAGTTTACTAATGAATCCAAATTAATGTAGGTTTTTATTCACATATAAGTATTGATCAACACGCATACATAGAGTTGAATATAGTAAACGGAAGCTGAAATGTGCTTGCACGATACACGAGAGAGAACCAAAGTAATTTGTTCTTCTGAGTCCTCAAGTACATTTTGAGCTTCTGTCAGTACCAATGAGGTTTGTTCTTGACCATCAAGTAAATAGCCTTATTTATGGCATTAAAAATCACTTCATTTTTGTTTCGAAGATGGACAAAAGTCTTATGGGTTTGGAAAAACGTGAGGGTGAATAACTGAAGATAGAATTTTCATTTTTGGGGGAACTATACCTTTAAGTTGATTAGTTTTTTTAAAGCCATGCCAGCTTCTTTAGCTATTTTCATGGTGAGCAACAAGTTGAAATACTATAGAAGAGCAAATCAAAAACCTATATAAAGTTCATCTTGATAAAAACTTTAAAAAGGATTCAGGTTTGACTTTCTTTGAAAGTGTTTACAGAGTAATATAATTTCCTAAGAGAACTTAAATCAGCACAATTTAATCAAATTTGTTTAATTGTTGATACTGGACTCTGGGATTAAGAGCATTATCTATTTCTTTAAGACTTTTAAAAGTGGCCCATGTTTTTTTTAATAGTGTTTTTCGTCCTTTCTAAATGATCTTTGCATGATCTTGCACAATTAGAGCTGAACCCAGTTTGAGCATTAGGTGGATTAAGGCTGAATTCCAGGCAGTTAAAAGACCAGAAGCAGGAAAGCCCCGGAGAGTCTAATAAAAGCCTGTGGAGCATGTGTAGGGCTGGAGATAGGGGTCAGGGAGAAGAAGGTGGGTCTGGAGATCAGGGGGTGGAAGATCCACCCATGGCACAAGCCATCCATTCCTCCTGTTGTATTTGATAGCTCAGATGTCCAACCAGAACATCTGTCTACACATAATAATAAAGGGGACATTTCATGGACATACTCTAAATGTTCAAAACTAAATTTGTCAGCCTTCCCGGACCATTTATGAAAACTAGATGCATAATTGGGTGAAAAATCATCATTCCCCCAAAGTTTAAAAAAATGACAATATTCATCCCTGCACTTTTTGGGTGACAATTTTTTTATCTTAAAAGGGGTCCTGTTCACACTAGTTTGATGAATGTTTGATGCAAAAATCTGGTGCAATAAATATTTTAATTTGACTACATGGATCTTAATGCATCTATTCAGACAGACATGAACATATGCACGCCATCTATGCAACAGATTTTTATGGAAAGGTGTTCTCACCTCTTTTCCATCGCTTTGTGAAAAAAAATAGCCAATCAATACGATTCACCCTTTTGGTCATGTGCCTGGAGACACTGCTGTCACACAAAACTATGACTACGAACAGACTGTTTCACTAATTGACAATGAATTGTAGAGGAGAAGTCCGAAACATCTTTGTTGTCTCTGTACTATTGTATTTAGTGTTGTTTGATAAACGTCATTGCGAAAAAATCTAAAATTAGAACAGCTGTTTGAAAAGTTGTAAATACTATTTGACTTCGCTTTTTCTCCATGACACGCAGGTGTCAAAAACAGAAAGGTGCACAGCGTTTTGTGTACCAGGGTAATCCTGCTTTAGCGCCACCTACTGTCAGAGTGTGAAATTGCATTTTCATTAAGCCCATCTGTCTTTTTTTCCCGCAATGGTCTGAACAGACAAATCACATACGAAAAACATTTTATGCAGCTTGAATGCTGCTGTCAATAAAGCAAAAAGAGGGACAACAAACACTTAGTTGTGATCATGTCAAATTAAATTTCAAATCAACATTTATATCTTAATATTATAGCTTTTTAATCTAATTTGTAGTGAGAGAAAAAAAACTTCAATTAGAAAAATGTTATAAAAAAGTGGACAAGTCTGAACCAGTTGAAAGTTACAAGTCTTTATGCAAATATAAGTAGATCTACTGTATGAGTGAGGATTTTTAAACTGTGGATGGCTAAAGGCTGCAGGCAGGAAAGCCAAGGCATGTGAGCACTTCCTGTCGCTCAGAGAGAGCTCATTAAACCAGACGCACACAGCTTTGTAAATAACTCCAACCGAGTGCTGCACCATGCAGAGCTTTATGAGCAGCTGATCATTAAAGACTTTTAAAGGCCTGTTTAAAACAGAATCGGGTGAGCGAATTCTCAAATGTTTAATGGCCGTGAATGCCACCTTCCCACCTTGAGGATCATCTCCGCTCGAGTCATTCCTTTAACCACTATTTTGGTGTAGCTGGCCGGGGCTTTACGGACCACCTGAGAGCCAATGGAAGGGAGGTCTAGAAGAACGGTCTTGAGGGAATGTGTGTCCAGAAGTAACTGCTCAGAAGAAAGAAAATAAGGTAATGTGTTCTAAAGGTCCATGAAACCCAAACATCCCAGTGTCTGAATCTCCACCTACCTGCTCTGCTCCAACCATGCTGATTGGCTTACACCTGAACAGGTGGTTGATGAACTTTGGAATGAAGGAGCTGAAACGAATGGATAAAAGTAAAACAGTCAGTAGGAGTTTAGCAAACGCTGTGTTATGAAAGAGCTTGTGTTGCACTGATTAGTGAGTGGCTGCGGTACTGACTTGGTGAACTTAATGCAGAACTGGGTGAAGTATTTCCGGGTGGAGGCCAGGTTGTCTCTAATGATGGGCACATTTTGTTTGATGTGCATGATTACAGAGGTCACATACGGGCTTTGATCTCCCACATGTTCCACACTCTGCCACGGCATCTGTACAAACATTCACAAAGTCAACTTCAAGGCTAGAAGACACTCTCAAACGTTACTGCGAACTAAAACTAAAACTATTAAAAACTGAAACAAGTTGAAATTAAAAAATATAAATATTATATGAAAAACAAAATGAAAACCCTGGAAACTAGAATAAGAAATAAAAATAAAAAAATTATATTGACGCGCTAAAATTATTAAACGTACCTGTAAATTAAAATAAAAATTAAGGCTAAACAGAATCATAAAAAACTAATAAAAATGAGAAAAGCACATAGCAAAATTACTGAAACTTAAGCTGAAATTAAAATAAAAGCTGAAAATATAAAAATAAATGACAAAAAATTCTGCCTGATACTGATAAGCCAAATTATTTTCATGTTATGGCCGATAACCGATAAACAGCCGATATCAAAATTATTTGTATTATTTTGTCTCTTTTATTTTCAAATAATCATTTAGGCATCACAACATTCTAATGTAGAATATGGAAATGGATAATCATTTTGAGATTTGCTAAAGATTACATTCAACAGTGTTATTAAATTATTAGTGTTTTTATAGATTAACTTGAAGTGAGTTTTAGATAAAAGCAAATGTGATTTAAAACAAAAAAATCCGGGAAATTAGAATCTCAATTAAATATCCAATATCAGCAGGTATGATAAATGAAACTATAAAAACTTGAATATCGTCTGATAACTTCTTTGGTTCTGATATAGTACCTTGCTCATAGCTGTGAGGGCTGGATCACATGCAGCATCCAGGTCCTGAACCAAGAGCTGGATACTGTTTGAGATAACCCTGCCAAACAGAGAGATTCATGGGAAAATTACTTAACTACTAGTAATTAATTTCCTTTGGCAAATATGTTTTTACTTAGCATTGAGGGTCACTTAGTGTGACGTATTTACGTGCTAAAGGTGTCCATCTCCCCAGTTAAGTTGATTCTCTCCATTAGGGTCTTGTCCACCTTCTCCTTGAGCTTCTCCTCCAGCTGTGGACATGATATAGGACATTTGCATCATTAAAAAAAAAAACTATTCATTTGTACCATGTGAATGAAGCATGTGTGGTGGGTGACCTGCTGTGTGGTAGCCAGGCAGTATTCGGCTGTGCTTAAGATGCTGCAAATAAGACACAACTCTTCCATTGTGAACTTGGCCACTTCTGATCCCTCTTTCTCCTTCAGCAGGCTGCTGATGGTTAGACCACCACTATTGGTGCTGGTCCTGCATGCAAACATGCACAAACATAGTTACCAAAGCACCCTAACTCAACCCTCCGGCCCTCCCACTAAAAGAAACACAAGAAAGACTGCATGGAAACCACAAGACAGCTTCTCCAAAACAAAGATCTTTTTTGAAACTCCCAAAGACAATACAGGGTAAACCACACAAGGCGACGGGTGGGGATTTTTCTTCCTTTGAATAGCGGCAGAGAGAAACCCCACAAATGCGACCACACAGAGACGACCACTCGCTCTCCTTTCCAGCATCACCACAGCATAACACCCCAAATAAAAGCCCCAGTGATTAGGGGGATTAAACTTTAACTATCAAAAAGGGAGAAAGACAGAAAAAAGGACCAGTCAGGTGGCTCGACTCACTTTGGTAGGTTCCCAGAGAGGATCTTCCAGGCATACTCGCGCAGATACTTCTGGAAGATTGTGGTCAGAGCAATCATGGGCTCTCCGGTGCTCAATTGTGAGCACTGGACCATACACTTCTTGTAGTACACGAAGAGATCTGCACAGCTGGGGAGCACAGCGCCTCCCTCATCTGTACCTGATTTAGGGGGACCCTGTGCCCGGAAATCAGCAACAAAACGGTCGATCAGCTCGCCAAGATTTCTAAGACAGAAAACAAAAGGATAAATGATAGTAGGCCTAGAAGGAATGTGCAGACTTTAGCCACATTTCCTGCACTATTAGAGGTAAAATCTGCATAATTCTGTGAAATGGATTTAAACATGGCAAAAAAAAAAAAAAAAAAAAATTTAAAAAAAAAAAAAAACATTATACAGAACGTACAAAATATATACTAATTTTATTAATTCATTTTTACATCTGTGGTCATGTATTTATTTATTTTATTATCAAAGACACCTGGATGGGTTAAGTTCTAGATGTTTTGAATGTGTTCAGTACTGCTTAGTTTCAACATTAAAACTAATTTGCAAGGTTGACCTTGTTGGGGAAATAAAATGAAAAATAAATAAATAAAAAATTATAAAAAATTATAAAATAAAATAAATATCTGCAAATTGGGGGACCAATTTGAAGGACACTGTTTTTGTTGGAAAAACTACTAAATTAAAAAATTTCAAAAAATAAAATAAAAACTTGGTAACTGTTTGTATTTTTTGTCAAATTAGCATTGTCAAATTTGCAAAAATATTAAAAAAACAAAGTCAAAGCAAACGCCACATCTAACTATGACTGAAATCTCAATGTGTTAAACTTGCAATGTATTGTCAGGTCAGTAAATAGGCCATCTCTCTCAGCACGGAGTAATCAGATAGATGCTAACCCCAAGAGAAGAATGTGGACACTCCCATGCCAGGCAGGTCAGTGTGAACTGGTATAATGCAAGTCATTGTTAACAGAAAGGTCATTCTGCTTTAGGCAGTGCCAACAGAGTGTTACATGGGCCAGAGAAGGGCCTGTACAAGAAGCCCTTTGCTTGGGAGCCTCGTGTGTTTAGAGAGAGGGTAAGCAGCAAAACGAGAGGTAAAGAATGAGAAAAGACAAGTAAAGAAAGAAATCAGCTGCTGTTTTCAGGCTGTCTGCAGCATGTGTGGTTAACGGCTAATGGGAACCATTTTCTCCTCAGTGGTGAGGCGGAGAGAGTCCGACAAGGGAACTACTAAAAAGGGGAGTACAAGAAAGGGAAGATCACAAACCAAGTGCATCAAAAATGGGGGTTGGTGAGGAGGACCCTTAAATGACCCTGAAATGAATGGACTTCTTATTGTGTGACTCATTTGATATGATTGTGCACAATGTTAAAGGACATTCCACTCACTTATCCTGCGACTCGATGTAAACGTAGAGATGAGGCTCAAAGCACTTGGACACAATGCCGTGGAAGGGGTTGTCTGGAGCCTTCGTCTTCTTTGGCTGTAAACAGCAAAATATTTCTTAATCAGGAATTTAGAAAAAGGCACACGCCTTTGTTATTTTAGTATCATTTATTTTTTATTTATTTAATTTAATAAATTTATTTATTTATTTAAATTTTTTTATAGTTTAATTTTGTTTCATTTTATTTAAATATTGTTTAATTTTAAAATCATTTTGTTGTTTTTATTAAATGTTGTTTTGCTTTGTTTAAATATAGTTTTATATATATAGACATTTAATTAATAAATTAATATGTATTTATCAGTTTTAGTTTTGCATAGTTTTAGTTATTTTAGTACTTCAAGTTAAACAAACAAAATGAGAAGCGCTACCTTGGCAACTAGATTAAATAAAATAAGTATAACAAAAATAACTGATAAAAAAATAAAAATAAAATTTTTATTAGTTGTATTGTTGTAACTTGTATTTATTACTTTTAGTTTATTTACTTAATGTTAAACAAAAAATTATACAAGATTACAGAAAATACTAAAAATGTTTGATAAAATAAGATGAAAAAAATAATTTTATAATTTTTTTTCTAATGTATGTATATTTTTTGTTTATTTTTATAAACTGAATGAAAATGGCAAATGTTGCCTTTGCAGCCAGATAAAATAAAGTGGGTTTAAGTATATATTTATGTACTTTTTTATTTTATTTTATTTCCATTTATGTTTACTTTATTTCAAGTAATGAAAATGCTTTTTCTGGTTTTAGTTTTACTTAACGATAATAACCCTGACATGTGCTACAGTGGCACCAGTGTAATGGAGAAAGTGGAAGGAAATTCTATTGCGAAACACCACAGTGATAACGGTGAACTTCTGAGGAACCCAATTCATCAGAACTGTTCTTACAACACCTGATACTGAGAACATCATTGCCAATTTGAAGATAAAAGGAAATAAGTATGCAATAACTGAGCCAAAGTCAAGCTGTTATATTAAAGTATACGTTGAGTTTGATAAATAGACGGCAAATAAAGACCTGTAAACACACGATGCCTTGAATGTTTTCATAACACATCAATTCCAGAGAATATGCGCCTGATCCGGGCCATAGTTCAGATGTGAGTCAAATCAAACTACATTAGAAAGAAATGTAAATTGCATGTTGGAATGGCACCAAATGCGGTATCAGTTTCTATCAGAAGATGGGTGGAGTAGACTGCATATGGTTCAAATGTGGTCATTCCTGCATAACAGAGTGCAAATAAAGATAAGCAGCCTCACTCTATCCAAATCTTCATCCTTTTCTGATACGTTGTCCTCGTCTTCTAAAAAGGGGTTTGTTGGTTCTAAAGGCGTCTCAGGTTTTTTCTGCTGAGAAAGCAAAGGAAACATAGACAAACATCACACAAGAGCCAGATTACCAGCATGTTCACGTCCCAGTAAAATCCTTTTGTGTTCGCCTGCAAACAGGCAAGCATGGCCTCACCCCAGGCCCGTCGTTTAAGGTGCAGCCCGAGAAGCGCTTAGCCAGCAGTCCCTCGAAATTGGTGGTCCTCTGAATAGCGAAGAGCAAAAGCTTGACCTCGATCTCCCTGGCACGGGTTCGCATCAGCTTGGCCAGCTCGGTTCTGATGAGCAAACGAAACACAGACAAGGTTGTGAGCGAAACCTAATGTGCCAAGTAGACCAAGTCTTCAGGTCAATGCTTTTATAGGCCAGTGTGTGCAGATGCCTGGTTTGGCTGTTCAAAGAAACCACAGTGGATCAGTGTTGTATTCAAAAGACAAGATCCAGTTACTGTCAGCTTGAAAAAGAATCGTTTTGTGAGAAGAAAATAAGCCTACGGAGGGAGAAGAAGATGGTGGTGTGGTGTATACATTCTTACATAAAGCTTTGTCAAAAAAAAGAAATATATTAGATGGGATTACAGCGGACCTCAAACGTTCTTTCCAGGCACTGAGGGTTTTGTAATGACTCTCTTGAGAGGAATTTGACTATAGACAACACACATACACACACATAGCCTACTTTAGACTGTCAATACCACTACTGAAATCCCAGACATGTAACCAGTTCCTTTCCATCTAATCATTCATGTCATACTGCGCACAATTATGTCTTTTGCTAAATCATGCCGTATTTGTGTGCAGCCTAATGTCTAGTCTTCCAAGCTAACCACTAAATGCACATGTAAGCCCCAGGTGTATTTTCTCTATGGGATAATGGAGATAATGAGGATTTATGCTACACTCACATCATGTCAGAATTACCTTAATTACAACTCTACTCAGAACTGCTCATGTCTACAGACTCAAAAATAATTTGTTTCTATGGCAGCACTCATTACGCCAAAATGTATCCATGTCTGGCTTTGTTATTGAAGACAGCAAAATACATAATCACTATAAATGCTACAACTCAGTATTAGCTTTTTTTAAACTTTGAAAAACAGAAAAATTTGAGGAAATTTTTTTAAATGTAGAGCTAGCAATAGACACTTCTCTTCAAAAGTTTGGGGCCGGGTACAATTTTGAATTATTATTTTATTTTTATTTTTTTATTTATTGAGGCAATGAGATAAGACATGACAAAAAAAGGTAAAACGCAAAAAAAATACATTCAATACATATGAGAGGATTAAGTATATAAAAGTAATAATAATAATAATAAAATACAATTACAATATATAATGTACACAGATATAGTAATTTTAAATGTTTTTAAAAGAAGTCTCTTATACTAACCAAGGATGCATTTATTCGAGCAAAACTCCAGTAAAAACAGTAATATTGTATTACTGAAATATTATTACAATTATTATAGTATAAATTTCTTTCAGACAAAAAAATCTTACTGCACTCAAAGTTGAACAGAAGTGTAACTATCTTTAGTTAAAAAAACATTTTGGATGTTTTTATTCAACATCACATAAATCAAAGCTTTCATAGAATGTAATTAGAAGATCAATTCTAGTTATTTTTATATCCAAGTTGTGAATATCTTACATGAAAAATCTGAATAAACATGAATAAATATGAATAATGAATATCTTATTTATAGCCAACGTTCTATCTTTCAATATTTGCATAAAAATGTGGATGGAAATCTGACTAATGACATCAACGGTTATCACAGGTCAAGAACTTATGAACAACCAACATTATGTGAATGCAGCATTAATGTGAGGTGTTTGATCAGTACCTGGTGATATGACAGAACTCTACAGAGATGCGTTCGGTCATGCACCACTCCTCCGGGAACATTCGCCCATACTTCTCTTCATAGTCCACAAGCTGACGCTTGATCCACGCATAGCGCCGATCTATCTTGTCGAGCCACGCCACCTGTACTCAGGACAAACAGAACACAGACCGTAAGTCAGATAGTATAGCACAGTTTCAGCATGCACAGGACACACAAGGTTTCACTTACATCCTGGTTTTCTTGGAAGAGCACTAAGTATTCTGAAAGGTGCTGCCTGATGAACTTTTTGATGATCTCCTGCTTAATTCGAGGATCCAGGACATTCGCCACCAAGCAGGCATCTTTGAGAACAATGCTGGGACCTCCAGATTTCTGTAAATATCAAATTAAATGTGTCACAGGAATGATACAGAGACTTTTTCATCAGAGCACTGCATATCTGTACCTTTGACCCTTGGGCAGGAAAAGCCTCTTCGAAATCGGCCAGTATCTGCGTGCCAAGCTCGCTCTGTGCAGCTTTAACTCTGAGGAGGAGCGAAACATATGGGTGAGTGTTTACAAGACACCTGGTGGTCTCAGGATTCCCTGGTGTCCAATGAGTTTTAAAAGCAATAATTTCATGATACCAAAATGTTGGAATCTAGAGCAGTACAAGTGGAATTTTACAATACTTCATACCAATTCCATTAGAACAAATATACTCTGTATTAACATATATAGGCTACTACTGAACACACAAACTAAATAAAAAAGTTAAATATAAAAAAAAACTCACAAATTTTTCCCAAGTAAGCATTAATGTAAACAGTCATTCACAATGAGACTGAGAAATGAAGATTAAGGCAGCTTTCTCCTTTTCTTGTAAATATTGTTTGATTAATATTAATGACAATGGCAGGCCTACTACATTCACACTGTAAGGCCTAATGCACAGATCCCATATTTTGAGAAACATTTTGTTTTGCATGATTACATTCACAAACCAACTGCGTTTCGTTTACTTCATCAAAACAGGCAATTTGACCAAGACATGCCAGCTGACCTTGTGTAGTCACGTCACTACAAAGCTTTCCTTGCCCAGCATGTATGTACTGTAGAAAAACTGGTATATTTACCACATCTTTTTTATATTAAACTAAATACCAGTACTTTTGACATCCCTAGTCATGGTCTATCCTTATGTACCAGTCTCTATAGGGAATAGCTAGCCTACTACCTAGATCTCTTTAAATGATGGCAGCTCTTAGAACAACTGTCCCTGGGAAAATAAATGGAACAGAGACAGAAATAACAGTTACTTGTAAGAAAACAGATGCAAATTCAAATTGTATTAACTAATAAGGCCAAACTGTACTTTGGACCAAAGTCTCAGAGATCTAAGAGGCAGTGTAAAGCAAGCCCAATCCCATCAAAAGGGTTTGGATGAACCACGACTTGATGATTAGAAGATGCTCTTTTCATTTCTGGATTATTTGCTGGCGCAAGCAGACTCAACACAAGTGCCATCCAAAATAAACAAGATACTTAGAGGGCGAGAGAGCAAAAGAGATAGATGGAGACACATGCGCTTGCCAGTCAGACACTAGTCTTCAACGTGGCACATGGCTGCCAATTTGCTCTCTCACCAGCTCCATTAAGACCTCGACACTGTCTGAACCGCAGCACATCCCTCAGCTGCCGCACCTGATCAAAAATCTCTGCCACACCTCAAAACCAACCAGACATCTCCATTTAGGGACAGTCGGGCTCAGAACGAAAGCATCTCAGTTTCTCCATATTTGGCATGCACTAATATTAAGCATCACAAAAATCCAATTAGACATCACAAGAATTTCCTCAAGACTTCATATGTGGTAAGCTTGTGTAGTTCAAAACAATAGTTCAAAAAAGTTCATCTGATCACCAAAGGGGGGCTAATATTATTTACATTGTAAATTCCTAGGCACAATCCCCACCCTCATCAAATATAATCTCTTTCTACACCACAAAAGAAACAGACGAGAAAAAAAAACAAGAGTCACGCAGCGGTCAGAAACCACTGATGTACTTTGGCAAACTTAAATGCTGTTTTAACAAAACACTGGATTCGCTTGACGTACAAATGCATGCTCAACCAAACAAACTCTCATCATCACTCAAGGACAGCGTTTAACATATGAGGTCCGTCTGTGAGAGGTCTTATGAAACAAAGGGGTAAACTTGACTACAGGGGCACTGAAAAGGAACCGCGGATACATGTTTTCCAGAGAAACATTTAGAACCTGGAACAATCAGGGGAATCGTTTTTCCACATCAAACACACCCCTCCTTGCCATCTGCTTATGAAACAACAGCTTTATCAGAGCATCCAACATAAACAAGCAAAGGGAAGTGCAGAATCGTAGAGACCGGAACCCTGTTTCTTTCCTAACAAAAGGCCTAGTCTCCAAGCCTGTAGGGGACATGGACTGCACCACCCAAACCAGAGAGAGCACCTCCTCTGGGAAAGGCCCAAAACAAAGAGCTGGGGGAAAAAAGTAAATAATGAGACACTGTGAAGCAGATTTCCTTCCCATGCTGCATCTTCAGTAAACATAAACAGGATCTACAGACTCTCAGCACCATGATTTAGTCAAATAAACAGTGTGTGAGTGAGGCTTGTGTCCTTACCTCTCTGAGAGCTGGCGTATCTGGGGAATGCCCATGTACTTCTGGAAGTGCTCGAGGACGTTGACTACACCCTGAAGGAGATTGGCCACCTCCCCATACTGCCTTTTTCGAGTCATAGCTCTGGTGCAATGAGACAAGCTTTTAGCACACTGAGCAAATGGACTGATCATGGGAGAAGGTATCTTGAATAAACATACTCAAGGGAGTCCACACCGCCAGCCAGCATATGCAGGTGATTGAGGGTGGTTATAGAGGTGGTCAGGTGACGCTTTGCGTGGTCCAACTGCTTGATGTCCCGCGTGATCTCTTTCACCTGAAGCACAATTTTAGATACATTAAAGATACACAGATATTTAAATTTTGGCTGATACTTATTATATTATGATTGTATTTATTATATGATATTAAATTATATTACATAATACCGATCAAAAATATGGGATTGATAAGGTTTTTAATTTTTATGAAAAAAAAAAAAAGACTCTCATGCTTACCAAGGCCGCAATTATTATTGTTAAATTTAAATTTAAAATCACTGTTTTCTATTTTAATATATTTTAAAATGTCATTTATTCCTGTGATGTCAAAGCTGAATTTTTTAGCAGCCATTAATCCAGTCACATTATCCTTCAGAAATCTTTTTAATATGCTTATTTCATGCTCAAGAAACATTTCTTATTACTATCAATGTTGAAAACATTTGTGCTGATCAATAAATATATTTATGGAGTCTATGAAGAATATAAGGTTCAAAAGAAAGCATTAATTTGAAACTGAAAACTTTTGTAACATTTAAATGTATTTATGGTCTTTTTGATAAATTTAATGCATCCTTGCTTAATAAAAGTATATATATATTTTTTTTTTAAATGTCATACTGAGCCCCAAACTTTTGAACAGTGTATTATTATATTATAATTTCATTATAAATTACTAATAAATGGCCAATATTAAAGATTCTATAAAACTTAAAGCACTTAAAAACATTTGAAACCATTTCAACTATTTTAAATGTTACAAGTTAATGTAAGCGTCACAGTAATATCCAGTGTAAAATGGAGATTCATTTTGAGATTTGCTAAAGATTATATTTGTCAAGAACGTTATTATACATGTTGGCAAAGGCAATCTAAATGTGAAACTAGAGGAAATAAACATGCACATGTCAATTACTATTAATTCAATACGAAAACCTATTTATTATTAATATTTATTCAATAATAAAAACATTTTAATATCAGCCAATAACCTATATGGTACCAACATATCATGCATTCCTTCTTTATATTGCTTCACCATATTGAAGACACAGGCATAGAGCTTTGCTATTGTTCTCCTGCCTTCCTCCCCTTGCCCTTCCTCTGATCTGCACTGCATTACATTCACAGATGGCCAGTGCATTACCTTGGGCTCAAAAAGAGCGCTGTGGACAAAAACCACAGGATGTCACAGTTTCTTGTGCCTCGGTTACCCAGCCTGTTGGGGTGGGTGGGTGGTGAATGGCTATTTACTCTGGGTCGACTTTCAGGCCTTAAATGACTAGGTTCCTGTCTGGAGGGCTTATTTTTACTCACCATTTGCTCCGATTTCTCCGCTTTGTCTTTGATGTCTTTGATTTTGCCAAAGAGTTGCTGGATGGCTTTCTGGGCCTCCTCCAGCACCTGGAAGAGGAGACAAAAGATCTAAGATGACTCATACAGCACCTCGGTAGCATTTTCTTACAGCTCGCTGTCAGTTCGCCATTTTCCGTGAAACAGCAACCTGAAGTTCACTGGCTTGAGTTGAGTTTGTGTTGGGCTGGTTTCATCGCTTTCAAACTAGGCGATTCGAAAAACAGACACTCAATCTAAATCTTTCCCGCCACATCAAAAGCAATTAATAATGGACTCATATTTTAAATGAAAATACAGGCTGAATGATGTTTTAATGAACATGCTTCCTGCCTGGCCTCCTGACCTTCCAGCCACTTTATTATTTTTAGCAGGAAGATCTCCGCACTTCACCAGGGTGGGGAACAAACCGCACGGCCTGATGAAACCAGTTTTTACTTGACATTCTTGCAGGGCTAGGCTACAGCAGCTGCAATTTTGGCCCTTCCACATGTTGCCCCACCTGATGCCACCACATCACAAGGCTCCTGGCTCGGCCCTGATGGGATCTGATCTTCCTGGCCACTCGAATGCACAGTCACGGCCCCCCACTGCAGCCACACGGCCAGTGTTTGGACTCTGATAATGCATAATTACTACTTCCTTCAAGAGCAGCTGCAGCACTGGATGAGTGGGAATACTGGCCGTTGCCAGTGTATTTAGAGAGACGTGCCTGGGCTGAGAGCAGAGAGAGTTTGGCTGTGTCTTTTGCCTCGCTCCTTCACAGGCAAATGGAATGCTAACAGCCGGCACCAGCTGCCCCCTGGAATTTACCACTTTTACAAGCCTCCTCAAAAACACAGAGATGCTTTGAGCCACACACACACACACACACACACACTGTGTTAACAGCAATGCATCCTCCTTTCTATGAAAGGATTCTTCAAATTGCAGTGTTGACTAACAGCTCAGAATAAGAAGCAAAACTAGAGCCCAGATGTTAACTGGGATGTATCTAGTTTAAAGGGGCCACGTTGTTGTAGTGCATCCAGAACTGATTTCTGAAGGTTAGAAAGATGGACTGCTTGTTGGAGGCCAGTCCCTGGGTTTCCTTCTTATACTGCTGATCAGGAGAATGAGAAAGAGGTTATTTGGATCTGGCAGGAAGGACAGCAGCTGCTTCGCATGTGGACTCTATTTGCAGTTGCAGGATGTTTTCCCCCCCAGATGGTTTAGGCAGGCCACAGACTATAGGACGACATGGATGCTGGGATGCCTGCTTCATTTCCCTGTAGTGTTGTGACTCGACCGAAGAATATGTAGAAGTGTTGAGAAAGAAACATGTTGGTCATTAGGACAGTTTAATAGATGCTGACAGGCAGGAATGAGACTGTGGGATTATTTCCTCAGTGATTATGTCGTCAATCATGTACAGCATTCCACACATACACTATTGGTAATTATCCTGTATGTAATCATTTCCTAAAATGCTGAAAATATTATGAAGAAAAGCGCCTGGCTTTAACCCTCCATTGTACAGTGTTATCTCAGAGCTACAATTTTCATTGTTTCGCAAGATATTAAGTAATGGGGTAATGATAAATTGGCTATTTTGGTCACACTTTATTTAAAGGTCCAATTCTCACTATTAACAAACCATTAACTACGGCTTTTGCCTCAGTAAACTCCTAATTTGCTGGTTATTAATAGTTAGTAAGGTAGTTGTTAAGTTTAGGTATTGGGTAGGATTAGGGATGTAGAATATGGTCATGCAGAATATGTGCTTTATAAGTACTAATAAACAGCCAATATGTTAATAATAGGCATGCTACTAAGCAACTAGCTAATAGTGAGAACTGGTCCCTATACTAAAGTGCTACTGCTATTTTAATGGATATGGTAATTTTAAAACCTTTTTCTGCCATGTGGAGGACACGCATTGTTGTTTTGCAGAACTGCCCTCAAATTTAACCCATCAAACTATGATTCAAATTTGTTTGTGAGTAACTTTCAAATTAAAACATTTGAAGTTATAAATATTATTATATATAATATTATTAGAAGGAATTGCTTAAATATTGCCTAAAATCACATATTAGAATGACTTCTGAAGAATCTTGTGACACTGAAGACTGGAGTAATGGCTTCTGAAAATTCAGCTTTTCCATTAGAGGAATACATTACATTTTAAATATATTAAAATAGAAAACCATTTCAAATTGCAATAATTTTTCACAATACTGTTATACTGTATTTTGATCAAATGATGCAGACTTGATGAGGATAAAAGACTTCTTTCAAAAACATTTTTAAAAAACCTTTTGAACAGCTGTTGCAGCTATCATGTTTTTTATATTATCCATTATTAAAGTCAACTTTATTACTCCACTCTGCTTTTGTAATGTTTGCAATAGAGGGTTAAAACCTAGGCATTCAATCAATAAAACAAGTGTTGGGTTATTTTTTTATTTTAAGAAATGACTAAAACAACTCCAAAGGGACAGACAGGGATCGGTCTATAACGACTGATAGAAAACCACACATGCAGTAAACTTTCCATCCTGTGTTTAGATTAAATATTTATACTACATTCTTGGGGAGGCTCCTTCTCGGCATTCCTAATAAGCAGCTCCAGATGCCAAAAAATACATGAGACATCCTGATCCCAGCTGGCTCCCTGACAGCTATAAAGCTCTCATCTGAATGCTCCATCTGGGAACAACAACATGGCAAACTTTTTATAGGGAACTTTCTGCAGCACTGAGGAAAATAATGTATATTAGCACAAACCCTGCGTGAGACAAAGTGGAAGGCATAGCTTGGGTTGTCCTCAATTCATTTGCACCAAATGCTTTGGCCCACTGTTGACTTTCCTATATGAATGATATCACACATCTAACAAGTTTCCCCACATTGTCAACTGCTTTTCCAATTCAAAAAATATTTCCAAATACGTTGTTGTCAGTTAACAATAGTCTAGAATAGAACTTTCCACACACTGTAAATGTTCTGATAAGAACCACAAAAAATGTTGTTTAGAAAAGCTGGGCAGACACCAAGTATATTTTTTCCTAGTAAACAGAAAAAAAAGTGTGGTGACCAGCTAATTATTATACTAAATCCACATCAGAGAAAACCATAAAAACCATTACTTGAAATAAAATAAACAAACTTGAAATATTTTTCAAAATTCAAATTATTTCAGCTAGTTGTCTAGATACTCATTTTCATAACCAGCATAACAAAAAATGTTTCTGAAGACAATCACCTATTGCACCTTTAACTTTACTAGATGCACTAAAATAACTCAAATTAAAGCTGAAATAAAATTAATTAACACTACATAGACATTAAAAAACTACTACTTAGAAATGACAAAACAAAACAAAAAAATTTAAACCTGCGTTTCACTAGGTTTTATGAAGGTAAATTTAAGATTTAATACTAAGCCAAAAAATGTAAAGTAATAAATCGAAGGGAACATAATACGTCAATATGTTCTCTAAATATAAATGTCTAGAGAGCAGACAATGGGTTTTACTAGCAACACTTCAAAGTTTCAACAATTTCCAACAGATCTCCCTTTCTTTTTAATTCATTTTACAAAACCAAACAGCTTAAGCCACTTAATAGCTTCTAACCACTAGAATATGGAAATAACTTTCACTGCACCTTATGATCACACTGCAAAAAATATAATTTTCCTCAGTATTTGTTTTTTTCCAGTTTCACGGTCTTCTTGTTTTCTGAAAATGTAGTGAGTTTGAGTAAAACAAGAAACTTAAAAAAAATTCTCTTTTTTTAGGAATGTTTAAATATTTGTACTGAAAAAACAAGACAAACATACTGAGGAAGATATTAATTTATTGTAGTGCATGCATCATTTAATGCAATGAATAAGACACTTTGCTCTGATTTAAGACCTGCAAAAACCTTATAAAATGAAAACGAAAAGTATAAAAATAAAAATGTTAAATATAACAGTATCTCAATGATACAAAAACGACTAGGATCTACAAGCAGGCATTCAATAACAATACCAGAGAAGAGTTTGGGTCTTTAAACTGGGTGAACATCTGTGTTGTGACTGTCTCAGATACTATTTATCAGGCCCTCAGCATCATCCAAACTTCAAAGAGCCCTGACTCAGTCGCAAATAAGTGACCAATTCTAACTTTAGCATTTTCTGTACCACAGGGGAGAACGTGAAAATACTCGGTTAAGACAAACACATCCGTCCACCTCCTCCACACAGCTAGAAATGTCATCAAGCAGACCCCTGGGATCCCGTTCCAGACACGGATGTCTCCATCTCACTGATAAATACTGCACAGACTAAACAAAAAAGAAAAAAGAAGCTGCAGCGGGTCTTTCCAGTCCTTTCTCTCTGTCTCCACCATCACTCCCAGCCTCAAGCTACATGTGTAATCCACACTTCCCCGCCATTCCATCTGCTGAAAGGATTTTTCCTCTGCTCTGTGGAAACAACTCCGAAGGTTACGGGCCGTGAGACTCGTGGCCCAGCGTTAACGGCGATCCATTCAGACACAACCAATTTCCACAAGCGGTGCATGCTGGGTTATTCAAGAACAGCAGAACCCACTCGCAGGTCTAAACCACGCTGCCTTTCTACATCTCAATAAAGGGGTCGCATTTCACCTCAGCCGGATCTGTGTTGAATCAACATTTCCAGCCTGGTCCAAGAAATAGCAGGACACTAAACCACAATGTGGAATGGAAATGCTGCTGAGAACAGGGAAATTCAGAGTAAAGTGCGCCTTCCTTTCCAGGAAGAGACAGCACATGGGACTCTGAAGAGCCTTGGTCACTTCCAGAGATGTGAGATGGAAGAGATGCACAAGACAACCATGGTGTCGAGAGCCGTTGTGAAGTGGACAGAGTGGTTCACCACGAGGAACGTTCATAAGCTGCTTTAACCACTACAATGATTTGATAACAGAGTACAAAAACACATACAGTTTGCCCAAAATTGAAAACTCTATCACTGTTTATTCATCCTTATGTTATTCCAAACCTGTATGACTTTCTTTCTTCTGTGCAGTGTAATAGAATGTATTTTAAAAATGTAGGTCTTTTTGTCCACACAATGAAAGTCAGTGGAGACCAATTGTTTGACCTTCATTGTATGAACAAAAACAGTTGAAATATCCTCCAAAATATCTTCTTTTGTGTTCCACAGAAGAAAGTCGGTAACACTTTAGTATAGGGACCCATTCTCACTATAAACTAGTTGCTTATCAGCATGCCTATTATTAATATATTGGCTGTTTATTAGTACTTATAAAGCACATATTCTACATGACCATATTCAACATTCCTAATCCTACCCAATACCTAAACTTAACAACTAGCTTACTAACTATTAATAAGCAGCAAATTAGGAGTTTGAGACAAAAGTTTGTTAATATTGAATTGAACCTTAAAATTATGTGTGACCAGAAAGTCATAAAAAAATTACTCTGAACCCCAATTAGCCTAGAACCCCATGTGGCATAATGTTGATGACATTATGAATGTGTAACCAAAGGACTCACCTGTCTGCCATCTTGCCCCACATTAGTCTGTCCCCTCACTACTGTCCTGATGTTGTCATCCAACCGTCTGATTAAAAGAATCATTTACAATACCAATTGAAATACTGAAAACCTAAAGAACCTCCATATATGAATGCAGACCATGTCAGGGTCTAAATATTAAAAACTCACCTGATTTTAAGTCGAATGTTATTCACCACTTCATCTATATTCGCCAAAGACTACAAAAAAAAAAAAATAATAATAATAATAATAAAAATCAAGATTTGTAGGGGGAAAACATCTCTATTAAAATACATCAGCTATTCTTTTTAATTTTATCTCTTTTATTAATAATCAACATCTTATTAGTCACTTCTTCATGATCGGAGAGCATAATGCCCTCTAGTGGCAAAAAATATGAACATTCAATAGAGGAGAATTTCTGCAGTAATGTAAAGCAATTATTGGTCACTTGCATCAATATGGGTGACCTAAACACAGGCGTTAAATTCGATTTATTAATTGCAAATACACAAAAAAGGTTTTGAATGAAGATATACATTCATCATGTTGACCATTGCTCAAGTATTGTAATTTAGACTCACCTGTTCTGTTGGAAACAATGTATTAATGTATTCAACAGCATTGAAGTCGGCTCGATCCAAAGGGTCTTGGCTGGGGAAAACCTAAAACAAATGAGCAGATAACATATGATATAGCCAAGACCAGAAAACAGGCTCTGCTGAATGAGGACCAGGTGGCCACAAGGTATCTAAAGATGTTCTGTGAGTCTGAAGTGACCAAAAAGCGTTTCTACACTTCAGGTGGCACCTTAACAAATAGATCAAGAGATCCAGCTGTATTACTGATCTTATGCTGGACTCAGTGGAGATAGTAGAAGAATGAATATGGCTTGACTAACCATTATATTATTAAACAATTCTGCACGTGCAATGTTGATGCTTTAGTCACATACTCTTTCCTCACTGTACTTAGGTAATCATTACTCAGGACGTTTTTTTTTGGCCTGCTGCCATACATATCTGCTTCTTAACTAATGCATTTCAGAGTACTTCTGCTTAGGATGCATTCGTGGACCAATAGTCAGTTTAAGTATATAAATGTCTTTTAGAGATAAAACTATGTTGACCATTTAAAAGGTTTTACATTTTTCTAGACTATCAGCAATAACTTGGATCATCGGTATAAACATAAGCTAAAATTTCTAAGCATTTATACTAACGTTGTAAACAGACTAACAGTAGTCCATTTTACGATTCTTCAATTGCATTACAGTGCAAATTCTTTATTTTATTCATCTTTTACACGTACTCCCTTGTACAAAACCCTGGATGTGTCGAGGTGTCTGCCTTCAAATAACAAGCTAGCAATGACAAATTTGCGTTTGCTAGTCTGGCGTTTTAAAACTGACGTCAGTTTTGACAACAGCTATACACGTAAACTAATACGTAACATGATAAATAAACCAGACTTGACTGAAACTGTGAGCATTAATGGAGATGTAGCGTTATCAAATTGGCTATTAGCATCTCTGGAGAAGACAACAGCCGACAGCTTGTATGCTCTCTCTGACACTGCATTAAAAACAGACGTTGTGTCATCGTGTAGTAGTGAAGCGACCCTATGTCAATCTCTTCTTTTCTCAATGCTTTACCGGTGTCGATGCTCAGGAAAAAATATGATTCATTAGCGCCATCTGTGGCGCTGGAGACTTAACACAAAACCATAGCACAAAACACTCTTCTTCTTCTTCTTCTTTTGTGTTTAATTTATTGGTCACTTGCATCAATATGGGTGACCTAAACACAGGCGTTAAATTCGATTTATTAATTGCAAATACACAAAAAAGGTTTTGAATGAAGATATACATTCATCATGTTGACCATTGCTCAAGTATTGTAATTTAGACTCACCTGTTCTGTTGGAAACAATGTATTAATGTATTCAACAGCATTGAAGTCGGCTCGATCCAAAGGGTCTTGGCTGGGGAAAACCTAAAACAAATGAGCAGATAACATATGATATAGCCAAGACCAGAAAACAGGCTCTGCTGAATGAGGACCAGGTGGCCACAAGGTATCTAAAGATGTTCTGTGAGTCTGAAGTGACCAAAAAGCGTTTCTACACTTCAGGTGGCACCTTAACAAATAGATCAAGAGATCCAGCTGTATTACTGATCTTATGCTGGACTCAGTGGAGATAGTAGAAGAATGAATATGGCTTGACTAACCATTATATTATTAAACAATTCTGCACGTGCAATGTTGATGCTTTAGTCACATACTCTTTCCTCACTGTACTTAGGTAATCATTACTCAGGACGTTTTTTTTTGGCCTGCTGCCATACATATCTGCTTCTTAACTAATGCATTTCAGAGTACTTCTGCTTAGGATGCATTCGTGGACCAATAGTCAGTTTAAGTATATAAATGTCTTTTAGAGATAAAACTATGTTGACCATTTAAAAGGTTTTACATTTTTCTAGACTATCAGCAATAACTTGGATCATCGGTATAAACATAAGCTAAAATTTCTAAGCATTTATACTAACGTTGTAAACAGACTAACAGTAGTCCATTTTACGATTCTTCAATTGCATTACAGTGCAAATTCTTTATTTTATTCATCTTTTACACGTACTCCCTTGTACAAAACCCTGGATGTGTCGAGGTGTCTGCCTTCAAATAACAAGCTAGCAATGACAAATTTGCGTTTGCTAGTCTGGCGTTTTAAAACTGACGTCAGTTTTGACAACAGCTATACACGTAAACTAATACGTAACATGATAAATAAACCAGACTTGACTGAAACTGTGAGCATTAATGGAGATGTAGCGTTATCAAATTGGCTATTAGCATCTCTGGAGAAGACAACAGCCGACAGCTTGTATGCTCTCTCTGACACTGCATTAAAAACAGACGTTGTGTCATCAGTTACCTGCTCAATGGCCAGCTGCACTTCTGGAGTAAGGTGTAATATCGCCTCCAAATCTTCCACAAACTCTAATTCTTCATCCTCCATCATTGTGAACAGTCAACAGTCGTTTTATTTCCCTGTGCTGACGTGAATCCTTCTTAACCGGTGTCTTCTTCTTCTTCTTCTTTTGTGTTTAATGGCGGTTGGCAAACCAGCTTAAGGTGCATTTCCGCCACCTACTGGGATGGAGTGTGAGGCCTCGATGAACGAATATATTATATACTACTAAATAAAAATAAATAAATAAAAAACATTTTTTTTTATTCTTCTAATCAAATATGTATCTCTCAGATATTTTAGAAGAAAATCATAAACCCTTAGATGTTTCTGTGCATTCTGAAATATATTCATAACTGAAATGTCATTGATTTCCATATCTCTTCGTTTTTCAAGAAGTTGCTTTCTTTGTCTATTATATGCCTCACAATGTAAAAGCACATGTTCAACTGTTTCTGTTATTCCACAGTAACTGCAGCTATCTGACTCACTTTTTCCTATTATATACAATGAATAATTAAGGTTAGAGTGTCCTATACGGATCCTGGTTATAACAGTATCTTCTCTTCTGTTTCCATATACCTTTCTTTCAATCCCCACTTTCTGTTGAATGCTAAATAAGTGTCTCCCTTTTGACTCTTTATTCCATACGTCTTGCCACATACTTCCAACTGCTGTTTTAATAATACCTTTTACTTCTGTTTTACTTAAAGGAATTTCTATGTCAATCTCTTCTTTTCTCAATGCTTTACCGGTGTCGATGCTCAGGAAAAAATATGATTCATTAGCGCCATCTGTGGCGCTGGAGACTTAACACAAAACCATAGCACAAAACACTCTTCTTCTTCTTCTTCTTTTGTGTTTAATGGCGGTTGGCAAACCAGCTTAAGGTGCATTTCCGCCACCTACTGGGATGGATACAAAACACTCTGTAAGAGCTGTTGAGGTTAATCATTCTCACTTTTGACAATATTTATAAAGATGATATTTGTCTATTTTCATTATTGGTATATAGCAAATCACCAACTCACGTATTTTATTAATATTAGATTTTTAGACAAGTATAATAGTTTTCAGATTCTGAAATGGAAACGGGATAATCTGAGACGGAGATGTGAAGGCAGAAGGAGCAGATTTATTATTATAAAATGGTGAGGATCAAAACTGCACAAAAAAAGAGAGCAAAGAAGGGTCTGATGTCTCTAATGAACCAGTTTTACATTTACAGCATACATTTGAGTCTGAACAGGTAAATGGTTTGAAATGTGAACTAGCCTACTGTGCTCTATTTCTGTCAACCTATAGCTTAAAGTTCAAGATTAGCTCACTGTGAATTCAAGATCCCTGCTGCTGTGTACTTTGTTTTCTAAACTGTAAATGATTGATCTTATTTCTCACTGAGATTCTGTTTTAGACATGAATGAGTTCACAAAGGAGACACAAGATGCCTCAGCAGCAGCTGGACACTCTCTGCTATAAAATAAGAGAAGGACTGCATAAATGGAGGGATATTTTCACATGGTGAGTGGATGCAAACATACAGTACATACAGTGGTTTCTGTAAGTTTGAGACCACATTGAAAATCTGGTGTTTTTCTTTTTACTTTGCTCTTTGGATTTCAAGTCATGCTGTATGACATGATCGTCAGGGTTCAGTGTTGTTTTAGTATTATTTATGCCCTATTGTTTATTAATATTTTGAATTAGCTTTTATTTTGAATTCATTTTCATTTTTGTTTAAGTTTTAGTTTTTTAAGTTAAGTTTATAATTGTTGCTATGTGCTTTGGTCATTTTTATTCGTTTTTTAAAACTCTATTTAGCTCTACTTTTAATTTTTGAATTTTCTTTTCAGTTAATTGCAATTTAAGTTGTTGTTTTTTAAGTTTGCATTTTTATCTAATATTTATATATTTGTTCTGCTTTATTTCAATTACTGATCAGGACATGAACTATTTTAATAGTTAACAGTTAACAATAGCAACACTGTCAGGTTTAATAATAATAATATTTTTTAAATACATTATACTTTATATTCAGAGGACTACACTTTATAGTGCATACCAGTATGAAAACCCTCATCAAATGGTGCACAGTTATTCCAGTCAATGTTCATTACAGGCAACTATTCAAAACTTTGCTGATGGGACAAGGCCTCTCAGCACTGATCTGTGGGACTGCTGTAACATCTCAGTATCTGGCGTCCGTTTACTATCTGAATACACCCATGCTGCAGAGCTTCATTAATTACACCCTTCTAGGCATCACTTACACCATTGCACTGATCTTCAGACAAGGTATTCATGTGTTCATTCTTGTCCAATCATTAATGTTTTTAAATTATCTGCTACTGGTATCCATTTTTTTGGCATGTAATATTAAGGATACCTTTCTTTTAATATAGGTGATGGCAATATTTTGCAGATATTAAAGACAAAATGGTGGAAGTATCTGTTGTTAGGACTGACAGATGTGGAGGCAAATTACGCAGTGGTGAAAGCATATCAGTACACCACATTAACCAGCATACAGGTGACAGCTTTTTGTGGATGTGATGGTATACACTTACACTTACACTCCAAAGTGGAAGTGGAGGGGTTGGTAAGTTTTCTGAAAGAAGTATTTTATGCTCACCAAGGCTGCATTTATTTGATCAAAAATACAGTAAAAAAATAATATTGTGAAATACTGTTTTAATTTAAAATAACTGTTTAAATATATTTTAAAATGTAATGAATTGAAAATGTCATGAAAATGTATGACCCCAAACTTTTGAACGGTAGCGAAGGTTCTGAATTTGCATTTCAATAGGTGTCACATGTAACACATTGACAAAATCAGAACCTGATTTAAATTCTCAGTGCAAGCTGTTGTTTGGCTAACTGACCTGCATTACAGCTGCTGGACTGCTTTATTATCCCGGTTTTGATGATCTTGTCCTGGTTCTTCCTGAAGACCCGCTATAGGATCATTCACTATGTAGCTGTATATGTATGTGTCTGGCTGGGGTGGGGTGGGAGCCATGGTGGGAGCGGATATCCTTGCAGGCCAAGACCAGGGATCTTGTGAGAAGCAACCTGGTTCTCCAGATAAAATGTAATGCAAGTCAAACCATGACCATTATTCATTTCTGTATCAACAACAGCAAGTGACATTCTCCTCGGTGATGGTCTGGTTCTAGTCAGCGCCACTCTGTATGCCATCTCTAATGTGTGCCAGGAATACACAGTGAAGAATCTGAGCAGGGTGGAGTTTCTGGGCATGGTCGGCCTCTTCGAGTCAATCATCAGTGCAATACAACTGTAAGATTTGTTCAGAAATCACCAAAAAAGTAGACCTGTTCCTAAACGTCAGCGCCACATCATCTGCACTGTTTTATTTTGTCACCTATACAGAGGGATTCTCGAACATGACGAAGTGTCTAAAATTCAGTGGACATGGGAAATTGGTAAAGTACGGCGATGCGAAAAGAAAATCCTTTTCCGCTATGTCAATGTCATCATCTGAGGTTTGATTTTTCTCCTCTCTCTTCAGCTCTTATCCTGGCTGGATATGCTCTCTGCATGTACGGCTTCTATAGCTTCATGCCTGTGGTGATAAAGATGAGCAGTGCCACAGCGGTCAAGCTTTCCTTACTCACTGGAGACCTCTTCAGCCTGTTTTGTGGGCTCTTTTTGTTCCAGTACACTGTGAGTAAAATACTTCATTGAGACATATGTATTTTATATTACAAAATATAAATATTATTCTTTTTTTAAATGTAATTTGCTGATTTGCAAGAAACATTTCTTAATATTATCGATGTTAAAAACAGCTGTGCTGCTTAATATTTTTGTGGAAACCACATTTTGTTTAGGATTCTTTAATGAATAGAATGTTCAAAACTGATTCGTTTGAAATAGAAATCTTTCTCTCTTTTTTTAAACATTATTAATGTCTTTAACTTTTAATCAATTTAATGGATGCTTGCTGAATAAAAGTATTAAATTCTTTCCAAAAACAAAAGATCTTACTGTCCTCACACTCTTGAACGGTATAGTGTCTATATAAGAAAAATAAATTATACAATAAAAAAATTGCAAGCCATTAAAACAAACAACTTAAAAATGAATTGGTGCCTTAAATTTGATTAAAGTATAGTAAAAATACAATCTACAGTTTTTTGACCAACTTTTATGTTAATTAATCATAACAAAAAAAAATGGAGTGAAAACTCATTATCAAAATAAATGCTGAGTAGAAATAACAAGAAATTAAAGTAAAAAAGAATGTAGGTATTTTGCTGATGGTCTCTTTAATCCTGACATTCAGAATTAGCATAAGAGGCAGTAGAATCTGTGTCCTTGTATTCTTATCTCAGATATTCTGGGTCATTGTGACATGGAGCTTTATATTTCTTTAATGTGTGAAGGTTTTTTGAGTCCCCTACGTCCTCAGCTTACTCTTTGACCTTCCTCACAAAAAAAAAACGATCTTAGTAATTCATTTATATACTGAATTTGCAGTACAAGCTTAATTGTTTTTATATTTAGATTAACTAGTATTTTATTTTCTACAAACGGTCCATCAATGTTGAATAAGGTATTTCAGTCCATATTCACCTCATTTGTTCTTCTTCAGTTCTCAGGACTGTATATTGTGTCATTGGTGGTGATCCTCGTTGGTTTCATCATGTTTAACACCGTCCCTACGCTGAACCGAGCTCTTGCTCCGGCATCTGACGAGGAAGGTTGTGACAATCACGCCGCTGAGTTTGATAACGACAGCACTCAAGGCTGTGTGGATGAGATAACCTGTGCACAAGCAGAGCAAGATCAAATCAAGAGCCAAGTGAATGAAAGACAGTCAGCATGTGTCGTCATAAACAGTGTTAAAATGTAGTGTTGTTAACTCCATGGTAAAACAGACCAGAACTTTTTATTGTCATTATATTTTAATAGTGGTTTATGTAGATAAATCAAATGAATAAACTGCATTTGTATCTGGTGTGAGAGTAACTGGTATGTTCTTATCTTATGACATTTTGTGTGTTTAAACAAATAAATTATATCACTGTTGGCAAACGGACTGATATTTATGGGCAAATGGATCTGCGGATGCCACTGTTGTCACTTTAAACTAATATTTATTGTAAGTCGTTTGTGAAATTAATAAAACAACATAATAAAAGAAAAAGATATTAAGAGGAATGTTTTTGTGTTGATTACTCAACATAATGGTGAAAATTTTTATGTTGAAAGTGCTGCACTGATACCAAATATAATGGTATTATAATTAAATTATATTTTTTGCATTTATCAGATCTGTGTTTATGCAAAGAGTTGTAAATCTTATTTAATAATCCTATAATTATCTCTGAGTATTGCATGTCCCATAAAATAGATCTTTGATCTTACATTGAAAAACACAGCAAAAAAAGTACTGTTAAAAATACATATTTAACAATACATATTTAGTGTTTTCCAATGCAAGATCAAATATAATACTTAATATAACAAATAAAATACTTAGAGTTAAAGTTTAAAGAAGCACATAGCAGCCACCACCAAATGCATAATTTATTCATTTATTTTTAATTAATTTATTGTGAGCTTCAAGGGATAGTTTACCCAAAAATGAAAATTCTGTCATTAATTACTCACCCTCATGTCATTCCAAAGCCGCAAGACCTTCGTTCATCTTCATACACAAATTAAGATATTTTTTGATGAAATCCGAGAGCTCTCTGACCCTCCATCAGCAAGGGTCCTACCACGATCAAGGCGCAGAAATGCAGTAAGGACATCATTAAAACAGCCCACGTGACATCTGTGGTTCAATAATAACTTTATGAAGCTAGAGAATACTTTTTGTTCGCAAAGAAAACAAAAATAACAACTTTATTCAAAATGTATTCTCCTCCGCACCACCCTGGTGCATGTGTGTGGTCTCCTCTCAATGTAAACAAGGTGCAGCGCATGCGTCTTTTACGTCAGCAGCATTACGTGCATGCATTGTTTACGTGCAGGAAAAGCACACGCATGCGTCGTGCTACTCTCCAAAATGGCGCCAGGGTGACACGGAGGAGAAGAATTGTTGAATAAAGTCATTATTTTTGTTATCTTTGCACACATAAAGTATTCTCGTAGCTTCATAAAATTACGGTTGAACCATGATGTCACATGGGCTGTTTTAACGATGTCCTTACTACATTTCTGAGCCTTGATCGTGGTAGGACCCTTGGCCTTGCTGTCTATGCAGGATCAGAAAGATGCAGGACACCGGCCCTCCAGGACCGAGTTTGGACAGCCCTGATTTAATATATTATTTAAAATAACCTAATGATTATAGGTAATATTTAATAGTTATATAATAATTATAATGACCTATTTAGAAGATCGTTTCCACCCCAGCGTTTAAAAAAAATCTGATATAAAATAGACTAACACTTCGATATAAAGTCA